TAACTCTGCGACTCTAGAGCAGACACACTAATCACTGCGCCACGCGGGCGACTTATATGCTTTTACACTTTTGAGTAACGAACTGTCATGTACAAAATTTCGAATTTTTTTTTACACAAAATTTAATTTTGCATAAGAAATATCAAAATTTTCGTAAAGGACAACACTAATTGGATTACTGCATAGATGAACGATGCCTAGAGGAAGACGCTTGGTAATTATGGCTCCAGGGTAATCGTGTTCAAAAATCCAGACTTGTAAGTTTGTAAATCCAAACTTGTAAGTTTGTAAATCCAAACTTGTAATCGTATCAGTTTCATAGTAAACATATGTAAGTTGGTAATTCCGACATCCTATAGCATGTAGTTCCGAACATACAACTGTGTTGACTTTGAGTTTATGCTATGAATATGTGTATTTTTGATGTTGTAAACTTTGTTTTCCGGAATTTATATTTCCGCGCTCTGAATAAAACACAAAGACAATTGACAAGTCTACAAATGTAAAGTATACACGTTTGTCGAATTTTGATAATGAGAACCTATGGAGGGTCATCAGTGCCACAATTATTTTTAATGGTCTTATTTTCTTTTTTATTCTAACTTTTTGTTTTCCAAATTAAATTCTTCAGTTTTAGCTCACCTGAGCCGAAGGCTCAAGTGAGCTTTTCTGATCACATTTTGTCTGTAGTCCGTCTGTCCGTCTGTCTGTCCGTCCGTCTGTAAACTTTTCACATTTTCAACTTCTTCTCAAGAACCACTGGGCCAATTTCAACCAAACTTGCCACAAAGTATCCTTGGGTGAAGGGGATTCAAGTTTGTTCAAATGAAGGGCCACGCCCTCTTTCAAGGGGAGATAATAAAGAATTAGTGAAAAATTAATAGCATCTTTTAAAAATCTTCTTCTCAAGAACCACAAAGCCAGAGAAATTGAAACTTAATATGTGGAATTAAGCATCCTCAGGTAGTGTAGATTCAAGTTTGTTCAAATTATGACCCATGGGGGTAGGGCGGGGCCACAATGGAGGATCAAAGTTTTACATAGAAATATATAGGAAAAATCTTTAAAAAATCTTCTTTTCAAGAACAGCAAAGCCCTTATTGCTCATATTTATATGGAAGCATCCTCAGGTAGTGTAGATTCAAGTTTGTTCAAATCATGACCCCCGGGGGTAGGGCGGGGCCACAACGGAGGATCTAAGTTTAAAATAGAAATATATAGGAAAAACCTTTAAAAATCTTCTTCTCAAGAACAGCAAAGCCATGATGAGTCATATTTATATGGAAGCATCCCCAGGTAGTGTAGATTCAAGTTTGTTCATATCATGACCCCCGGGGGTAGGGCGGGGCCACAATGGAGGATCAAAGTTTTACATAGAAATATATAGGAAAAATCTTTAAAATCTTCTTCTCAGGAACAGCAAAGCCCTGATTGATCATATTTATGTGGAAGTATCCTCAGGTAGTGTAGATTCAAGTTTGTTCAAATCATGACCCCTGGGGGTAGGGCGGGGCCACAATGGAGGATCAATGTCTGAAATAGAAATATATATGAAGGTATCTTCCGATGAAGAACTGCAAAGCCATATGATTAGTCATTTTGATATGGAAGCATCCTCAGGTAGTGTAGATTCAAGTTTGTTAAAATGATGACCCCCGGGGATAGGGATGGGCCACAGTGGGTGATCAAAAATTTTTTACATAGGAACATATTGGAAAATATTTTCTTCTCAAGAAATGAAAATCATTATTAGTCATTTTGATATGGAAGCATCCTCAGGTAGTGTAAATTCATTTTTTTTTTCAAATGATAACCCCCAGGGGTAGGGTGGGGCCCAATGGGGATCGAAAGTTTTACATAAGAACACATAGAAAAAATATTTCTTCTCAAGAACAGAAAAGCTATGTTTAGTCATATTGATATGGAAGCATCCTCGGGTAGTGTAGATTCAAGTTTGTTCAAATGATGACCTCTGGGATAGGGAGGAGCCACAATGGGGGATCAAAATTTTACAAAGGAATATATGGGAAAAAAATTTTAAAATCTTCTCAAGTACAACAAAGCCATTTGTTATATTGACATGGAAGCATCATCAGGTAGTTTAAAATTCACCCCCCCCCCAACCCCCCAACCCCCGGTAATCCTTTCAATACTGAACTGATTTGTGTCTAGCCAATGTGCTCAGGTGAGCGATGTGGCCCATGGGCCTCTTGTTTATTTCTTATTTTAATTCTTTCTTCTTGAAGGCGCGGATCTAGAAGGGGGTCCGGACCCCCCCATATCCCCCCAACCCCACTCCTCCCCCTGAAATTTGCAGACTTAGTAAATGTTTATACTAAATGAACTAAAAGTGACCTTGGACCCCCCTCGAAAACGCTGATCTGTGTTAAGTTGACGACTACCCCCCCCCCCTTCCCCAACACACACGCGCGCGAAATAGGTTTTTCTTGCTTGGGAAAGGAGTTTACTTTATTTTTTCTTGTCAAGAAATTTCTGGGTTGGATTTTTTTGGACTGGGATGGACCACCCCCCTGGATCCGTGCCTGTTCTTGTTTATATTTTTATTTTATTTTATTATGGCAATTTTGATTCCTTTCGTATTTTGATTCTATCTTAAAATTTCAATTATGTTTCACTTCACCTAACTTAATACTTAATTTTTTTGGTAACAACTATATTAAGCAAAATCGAAAGTTTGTTTAAGAAAGTAGAACTTCCAGAGTTAAACTAAGAAATCCGAATAAAATTTAAACGAAAAGGGGCGCTACGGCCTTTTATGTACAGGTACACAGAGATCTTGGCGAACAGTCTAGCTACGAAACGTAGAAACATTTCCATGGAAAATATTTTTTTTCATTTTAAAAACCATATGACATCATTCTTGCGTGTTTTCTCTCGTTTTCATGCCCGTAGGAAGCATTTTCATTGGGTGGGGGTGGGGGTGGAGCAGTGGGCACAAAACAAAAATTTCTTCATAAGCTCCCCCCCTCCCAAAATGAAACTTAGATGAGCTCACTTTTGATCCCAGTCTCTCTTTTCTACATACTTTTAATTTCCTTGGTAAATGTGAGACTGTGATAAAAAATGAGCCCGTCTAAGTTTTATGGCCCTGGTGCAAGATGTTTCAAATATGATAAATATGACCGCCATTTTTGATTGCCCGCTTATGGTACATGTACACAAATATCAGGTATCTTTAAATTGATATTGTCATCACATTATTTTTTTAAAGTAGGACAGAGAAAATTTTTTTTCACTAACAAGTCTCAGGTTCGAAGTAGGAAGGATCGAAAGGTTGGGTTCCCAACTTTTTTGTGTGGAGAATAATCTTCTGCAGCTGTTTTAATATGAAAATTCATTTATAGGCTGGACATGTATGTCCAACCACCCCACCCCCACCCCCATCCCCCTCATTTTGCAGTATCATTAAACTCTGGCAAATTTTTGCGTTGAAAAAGTTACTGAAAAGTTAGAGATATCCTAAACATCCTCCCGCTAAGGAGGAGTTTGGGCAGTTTAATTTTTTTTTCATCGTCAATTTTTTTTTGGAGCCCCCCCCCCCCCGATAAACATTGATACGGATCTTCATCTACTGAGTGGTTGTTGTTTTTTTTTTTTTAATATGATATCATTGCAATTACATTGGTTCTTAATAAACTGGGGCACTGATCACAGTAGCCTAGTGGTTGGGCGCTAGCTTCGTAAGCCATTGGAGGGTAAGAGTTCGCTTGTCCTAAGTTCCTAGTGCCGGCCGGCAAAATGTAAGACGTTTAACATACGTGTTGGTAATGACTATTCCTTCAACATTGAAAGTCAAATTGAATAATTTTTCGGTTGAAACCTTAAAAACCGAAGCCCCTCTAGATCCGCGCAAGCCGTGAATAATCGGGTAATGATTCATGTCACATAAAATAAAATTAAGAAGATAAAATTGGAACATATAAACAAAAAGTTAGAATTAAAATCAAATAACAAATTCAAATGAAAATATTAATATAAATATTAATATTTAATTAATATTAATATAAAATTGGAAGTTAGAATAAAAAAGAAATAAAATCTAGATAATTTATTTCAGTTGGAAAAAGAAGAAGTTAGAATAAAAAAGGGGAAAAATGTGGCACTGATGCCCCTCCATAGTTTCTCATAATCAAAATTCGACAATCATGTAGACTTTACATTTGTAGACTTGTCAATTGTTTTTGTGTTTTTATCAGAGCGCGGAAATATAAATTCCGGAAAACAAAGTTTACAACATCAAAAAAAACACACATTTATAGTATAAACTCAAAGTCAACACAGTTGTATGTTCGGAACTACATGCTAGGATGTCGGAATTACCTACTTACAGATGTAGAATATGAAACTGATACGATTACAAGTTTGGATTTACAAACTTACAAGTCTGGATTTTTGAACACGGTTACCCTCCATAGGCAATAGCTTTGGGATTCACTTGGTCGAAAGACAAACTCTATGGTCATTTTACATTTTTTGTGATGCAATACCCTTTGTTAACAATATTTCTCAATTTTATCTCTATGGAGGGGAAAATTGCAAGGTAGATTAGATAAACGACAGGGTCAAAGATCGAGATGATTGAATGATTGCTATTTGCAATGTTTTCCCAGTCATTTTGTAATCAACAGACTATGATTATAATAATTATACTCCATAGATATTCATTTAGGAAAGACACCTATGAATTTTGGGTTAGTTGGTCAAAGATCAAGATCAAAGGTCATGTTTTTTTTATGACCATTATGATGAAATAGCGTGCATATATACTTTTAAAGTTGTAATCTCCTTGTTAAATACACATATATAGCATTGTTGGAAGTTTTTGTCTTTCTTGAACAATTATCGAGGACAAATTTTGATGCATACTTTTAATATGACCATTTCACGTTGTTTTGTTTTGTTTTTTAAAATATCATGAATCATGTATATCTAAAAAGTCCATTGTCTTTACGGAGTTCAAAATAGTTAGAGCAAAACACTTGAATATTTAATCATTTTATTTCATGTCATTAAATCAAAGGTCAACATTCAAATTAATTACTCCTCCCCCATGAACACACTTACATACAGCAAAGAAAAGCTTCAACATTTAGCTTATTTAATATTCACTACATGATTAAAAGAGAGACCTATATATTTGTATGTCCCTTTTCTAAAGACGTGCCAGGCACATTTCGGGGCTTGAATGACTTTTTAATTCACTGAAAGGACGGAGTCCATTATCAAGAGTGCTACGTACATTAAATAACAAAGCAATCTACTTCCTAGTTTTGGTTATGTATCATATGTTATTGGTGATTTTTCCTCTTAGCAGTAACATTTTGTTTATCATGGTTTAGTTGATTAGCTGCAGTGCAGTTTATTATTTACATGCAAGCATCTATATATATACAAAATCCCGGATTTGTGCAATAATATAGTACCAATTAAAGTGATGTACACATCTATTAAAGCACACATAATCTGTATTAATGAATACTAGTACTCTGGAGGACAAAAGAAAATGTCACTGTCCATCATCTTGAACGGAATCATTGTCACTGCACGAGTACGACGAAATCTTTTCGGAATGCACTTCAACGTGTTGATTTTTCCATGAAATACTCTTGCACGTTCCGCGCGTGTACAATATCACGTTGTGACGTTTTCGGGGAGGTTTCCTCGAATTATCGAGATACTCGGATGTTTCAACGTTGGGATTGGTTTCTTCCAGTTCGTAAAACACATCCTGCAAATCCGGAACGCCCACAACATGAACTATTTTATCATCAGACACCCTTCGGATGGCTATCGGAAGTTCTTTCCCATCCACTATTTTCATCGTGGTTTTGACCTCGAAATCTGCCACTGAGTTTCTCTCTGAAACATGAACCTGTGCTTCGGCCTTGTGTCCCTTTTTGACGTTGATTTTTGTGTCAACTGTCCAAGATGTAGTCGTCTCGAAAGTCTCGCTTTCGGTTTCAGTGACGGACAACTCGCCACTGAGACCAGCACCGACCGTAACTAGATCCCCGGGGACACTTATTTCGATGTTACATTCCCCTCCCTTTGTATAACATTCTTGGAATTCGACAGTAGTTGAGTTCGTAGTTTCCCTCGTGGAGCTAAAATTGTACTCTTGGTCCAATGGCGTCTTATTTTCATAGTCGGACTTGTACAAAATAACATCTTTTGAAACTTTCGGACTTCCTTTAGCACCACTTTCTCCGGAAACGGAAATTTCAGCTGGAGTACCATCTACTGCATCCGGCCTCTCTTCAAATCTTGTCGTCTCGTGTTTGAACTCAATATATCCCCAACGCACGTCAATGTAATATTTCGAACGCCTGTTGAAAATTCGACTAACAATGCTTCTTCTAGCCGTGAATCTTTTCCAGGCATATTCCTCAAACAGGTCTTGCAAGTTAACTCTAAAATCATGTCCTGATGGCATTGTGGATCTGTTTTTAAAACAAAAAATAGTAACTATATGGTGCACGAGATATGAATATCATTGTTTTTAACACATGTACTTGTAAATACAAGTTCATTCGTAAAATATTGCTACAACATAATAATTATATAGGGGTAATGCTGTGAAATAAATCGGTAAACTGGGATAGATTTTTTTTATTTTGTGAAGTACACTTTGAGGTCTTACGAAGACTTTTTGTCTGATTTTAAATTGAAATTTGATACAGGAAAACAGATCGTTATTATTCTTTTAAATTCCTTTCAAATTCCAGCAGCATCTATGTTCTGAATATAAAGCGAGTGGGTCAGACGGATGCATAAAGTCTGTTCAATAGTTTACACTGTCTAAATAAACATTTTCATTTGGTTTAGATCCCCCTAATTCTTCGCAGAATCCTCGATGCTAATGCTCGGTGATCAATATAGCATTCATCAGTGGAAAGTGTCAGTAAAAACAAAAACTCATTAACTAAATTGATGAAGGGGGAGAAAGTTTGAATCCTCGATGATAAGAAATATCTCTATTCCATCTGCATATAAATCAACGGATACAACTCATTTTTTACTGAAATTAACCGGAGGGGATCTAGCAAACACTGTGCACGTTACATAAAAGACATAAAAGAGCCCTCGTTACTCAGAAAAATTGAGCCTGTCATGCAAAAGAAATTTAAACTATACAAAATGTAGGTATTTACACTTCATTCTGTATTTTTTTTTTTAATAAAGAAAAGAGTTTTAAATTTTTGAATACGAGTTTTAGTGAAAAGCGTTCTAGTGATGAGTGACTTTTTAATTCGCGTTAAATAAAGTCTGCTCTTCGTAAGATGTTTATGTAGATAGGTAAATGTAGGTATTTAGCAAACACTGTGCACGTTACATAAAAGACAGGAAAAGAGCCCTCGTTACTCAGAAAAATTGAGCCTGTCATGCAAAAGAAATTTAAACTATACAAAATGTAGGTATTTACACTTCATTCTGTATTTTTTTTTAAATAAAGAAAAGAGTTTTAAATTTTTAAATACGAGTTTTAGTGAAAAGCATTCTAGCGATGAGTGACTCTTTAATTCGCGTTAAATAAAGTCTGCTCTTCGTAAGATGTTTATGTAGATAGGTAAATGTAGGTATTTATTGTAGGTATTCGAGGGTCATTCGTTATCTAGATCATCTAAATTTCCCGGGGGAGTCATACTTGGCGATAAGAATGTTAGTATACCTGAGCCGTAATCGTTTACACGTAAGCAATGGCACCTGGACGCTGAAATAACATACAGTCATTGAGTTAATAAACGACCCCCTTTGGAATCTCTAGTTCTTATAGACAATCTCTTGTTTAACCCGTGTAATCTTCTCTGTCAATGCCTTGTCTTGTTTTAAATCTTATCAATTTAAAAGAACATTTCAAATTGTATATTTTTAAACGTCTATTAAAATATTTTACGAACAACGATAATCAAAAGCGTTATAAATCAAGTTGAATGGGATTTGCAGAATAAAACCAACAAAACTTTGAAAGAAATTCTGTAACAAGTTAAAGATCTAACACCAGTTAAATAAATTGCCTTGCGAGATCATGTGGAAAACTGCACCCTTGCACGCGCCAATAATAATTTGGTTAGTTGAGAAAACACGGCTGTTTCCGCTTAAAACATTTTGGATAATTAATGGCTCGATTTTTGTATCAGCAGATAAAAATTTTAAAAAAAATTCTGGATCTACATGTAGCTTACAGTTACCGCGCCACTTCTCTTATATTAATCGACACCGAGACTTTTATTTTATCCGGTTAAATTCCATCTTGTAAACTGGTTTTGTTTGATCATCTGAAAGAAATTCTATATAAGTTTTAGATCTGCATTTTATTGTAAAGAGCGTTTAAGTGTCTTTTATTAAAATTCCCGGTATCCATACAATAGATCAACAACAGATCATTGTCACAATGTCGGAGATAAGCAGATCGATGTGTATATGAATATTCCATGGTGACCTTTTGTGGGTCCCTCTTTTAAAGATAGGCATTTTCATCAGCGAATTTGTAATATTAATAGCAGAACTGTGTGAAAATTTTTATTATGAACTGTGAAATAATAGCCTGAACTGATTATCGAGGTGAATTTGAGTGCGGATGAAATTCGATATCGATATTTTAAGTCCCTCGAAGTGTGTGCTGTATTTAGCAGTCGCTTCCTTCCTAAATATGAAGTTATATTTAAGGAAGAGGTGAAATATACACTAAATTTCCTACATTTTTTCATATTATTTAAAAAATAGAATTTATTTTTTCAAAAAATATGTTCAGTTAAAGGACCTCACGAATTGTCACGACTGAGAGAATGTTCAGATCTACTTTCTCAAAATGGCGGAATCTGTCAAATCCATTTAGGGAAATAAAATTCTTTCATATTTCTTCCACTTTAATTTGAGAAATTTCCCATTGTTATTACAAGTTATAAAATATTTCTTAAATAAAAGTATTTAGATTTCATTAATTTTCATAATTTTCCTGCACTCGTCACTAAGTCATTCCATGTGTTCATTTCAATATTTTAAATATCGTAATTTTACAAAAACAGGAGGAAAAATTAATAAAATAGTACTTACACTTTGTTCATAAAACCCAACGAGCAAGAAAATATTTAAGCCTGAGCACTCAGAAAATTTTCATTACGCCATTACGGGCGTTGGCGATCAAGTGAAGCTTGCATTCATTGGACGAAAAATCACGTGACGATTAGTAAGTAATAAAACTTGTATATGTGCATACACGTTTTACACCTATTGCATGCATATGCTACATATTTCTTTCTACTATAAATCAAATAGCCGAATTCTATTCTATCCATTTTTTTCTGAATTCATTATATTTGCAAAATCAAAAGATGCTTGCGTATCATGGAGTTCGTTATCTGAAGCTTTCGTTTAGAGAATTAGATTAGTATTGAACAGTGCTTGGAACATTGGTGATGATTCCGATATCACGTGCTGTCCTGGGGAAAATTACATTGATCAGTATCATATTGCATTTTGTAATTCATACAAAACTTTTTCAGATATCTCAGGCAGAAGCATACGTCCTTTAATGTCGTGTACGTTTTGAATTTACTGGGTGCTTAGTAAAATAAATATGAAACTTAGGTACAGTGTAACAATTATTTGTCGAGGTTTCATGCCTTATAATGGCAATATCTATTATGATCAATTGTGCCTCTTTAATTATTCATTTTGCAGATAGTTCTTCGCATGTTGTACTTACTAGGTGAAGATTGATGCAAAGCTCACTTTCATGGCGTGGCCACTTCCACTATGGTACCGAGAACAATATATAAAATAATACTTGAAGATAAAACATTGAAAATTTTCACCCCAAGAAAACAATGATTTTCGAGGGTTGAATATTTTATGTTACCTCAACTGCATGCAGTGTTTATTAATTATATTATACTGAATGTTTTTTATACAGATTAGGGTGAAGCACGCGCGCATAGAATCATTTTACTATCATCCGTCATCAAGCAAATTTGACTGCTGCTATGTTCTATCGCGCCGGAGGATTCATCATTCAGAGGGTAACAGTGTTTTTTATTAAATTTTCTCAACGAATTAAATTCAAGCAACTTACAAGAAAGTTTGTTATTGATATTTGATCCCAATGATTTAAAATAACACAAAGATTACTTCTAAGTAATAAAGATAGACCACGCGCCGACAGGAATACTATCAATGTACATATAATATTCATTTAAATTTGAATGCACTGTCATTGAATGATGCAAAAAAAATAGAACATGGTATTTTACCAATTTTCTACGAAATTATATGTATGTTTGTCACAAAACTTGTTTTCTTCAAAGATACATTATACATTGCTTGTTTTGTACTTTATATAAAACTCACTCAAGATGATAATTTAAATAGACATCCAATGCCTGCTTATGGTATAAGTATACACACTCTTCCTAACTTCATGATTCAGCTTTCAAATCTAAGAAAGTACGTACCACATGTAACATATTTTACATTAAAAATTTAGAATTCAGAGAATTTAAAACTAACTAAATTATTATAGTAAGTTTTAAATTCTCTTTCTTCTAAAACTTTTTTAATTTAAGTTATTTAACACATTTACAAGGTCATTTCCGACAAACTTGATCTAATGCATAACGATAGTATTGCATTAATGTTTGTTTGTATTACATGTACATGTTAAATGTGTACTATATACGTATTTCATGTAAACAGATGATGATGATGAGAGACAGAGAGAATATCCATTTAATACTTTATACTATGATAACACCGCGGTTATTTTTTTATCATTATTTATAACATGCCTTTTTGAAACAGAAAGGTTACACCGTAATGTCTATCGAATGGCTACAACGATTTGTTAGGGTGTAAATTATATCCTTTTCGGACTTAATATAAATTACTGTGTAAACTAACTTTTCGAGCTTCGTGTAAATTGTTATAAAAAGTTGTCTTGTGATAAATTGTATAAATTCTCTACCTAAATCCCATCTGAGGCACAGCCAGAGATAAACAGCTCTTTATTGATATCTGTTTATATTTTTTATTGACACAATCTTTAATCTACTGTCTTTCCACAATTTTTTTTAAATAAAATTTGTGGAAAGACACTACTTTCAATCTATTATATACATGCCGCTAAATGTCACCAGTCGCTCAAACAGTAGCCGTTTGCTAATTGATTTCTTTATACTTGTTATTAATCCTTTTATTTAATTATTAATCCTTTTATTTTGTTCTATCTTTGTTCAGTATGTATGTTTTGTTGTTAAAAATCATAGTTAATTGAATTCAGATATTAGGTACTGATCCATTCCAAAGTCATGTAAAAGTAAATTCCATGCTAACTCAATATATAAAAGTACAAAAACTATAACTTGTGTTGTTTTTTAAGTTTTATGACTCTGCATTCTCGATAGACGCGAATTTAGCAAGAGTTATTTCCCGTTGGTCGCATTGGAGGTCAACAAGCCCCTGGGGTCTGTTTCATCAAAGGTCGTACGCCCAGTCGTAGCGCTACGCCGGCTTAAAGTCGGGACTAATAGAAAGATTTGCATTTCGTTAGATAGCGTATCTTTACACTGGACTAAAGTTAGGCCAAAATATTAGGTCTACTCATGGGTAGGCGTAAGTTCGGGCGTAAACATAAAATAAAGCGACTTTACTAATTTGAAAACGATTTAGCCATTCCTTAAGAAAAATTTAGGTTCTAAGAAGCCTTCTTAATATAAAAGATGCATTATTTACATGTATTTTCACAAACTATGAAGATTTGGGGGAGCGGAAATCGGTACTCCCACTCGCGGTTGTAGTTGACTTGAAGTACTTGCATAACTTTAATAAATTTCATCATAAAAGATTGCCATATTAAGGATTCATTTTAACACCATGCAACTCTTAAGTTTTGACAATGCTGCATTTATACACATTTGATTGTTGTATTTTGAGTAACTATGAGGTATTTGATGTACATTTTTGTGCCATTCACTGAAAAGAAACGTATTAAAAATATCTATTTTGTAAAAAAAAAAAAAAACAAACAAACAAACAAACAATTTTTCCTTTTTGTAAAGTAATATTCTTTAACTTTGGTTAATATCTATTTTTTTTTTAAAGCTAATTTTTTAATTCATCGTAAAACCAAGTAGCCTTAAAAAAATATCGTGCTCGAAAACTCCATTTCTTATTTACTCCATGTCGTAGCAACTGTTCCTTCGCCATGCGCTCGGCACTTTGAAGTGAAAGTTGCGGGTCCTTCGGATGAGACCTTAAAAACCGAGGCCCCGTGTCACAGCGGGCGTTGGCACGATAAAGATCCCTCACTGCTCAATGGCCCTGAGTGCCGAGTAAAGGTCAAAATTTGACCCCTTCACCGGTATATGGTGACGTCTCTATATGAGTGAAAATTCTCGAATGGGACGTAAAACAACATACAATCAATCAATCATCCCTAGGCTGTACAATAGGTACTGAACAATGTAGCGTATGAATATCGTAACTGCCAACGATAGCGTAACAAATGTAGTTCCGATTAAACTGACTGAAAATAAAGTTAATGCTGACAATAAAAAAAACTACTTATAGCCTCAAAATGCACAACAAATCAAATTAAATTGTAGAATCTGATACAAAATTCATAATTTGAATCATAGATCACTATAGTAAATATGTCACTAAACCGGAAGTGACGATCCGAGTAAAGTATGATGGCTACCAAAACATGAAATGTAAAATCCACCCTCTTATCCCTAATATTATAAATCCTTCGACTTTACATGAAGCAACAACAGGTATGATCATAATAGCTATTACTACAATCGTATCAAGATAGGCTGACATATCATTTTCGATAAAATCGTAAACGAACAACTTTTCTGGCAGGCACATGACAAACATAGATTTAACAAGTATGAAAACAATATTACATATAAGAAAAAGTGATATATTACAAAATATTTCACTCCCCACAACTTAATTTCAAAATTCTCCTGAATTAAGAATTTTCATCAACTCAACATAACATTAACAGTCTTTTCAGATTTATAGTCTGATGGGAATGTTCTTTGAGTCTATAATTGCTAGAAGGTTGTCATCAGTGGAGCGGTCCCTAAGAGCACAAGATCTTTCAAGCATCTTCATCCAGGTCGAATCCCCATTGTCTTCGCTAACTATTGTCTTAAGTTGTTCATATGTGTAGTATCGAGCCTTTCCAACAATTTGTGCCTCCTTTTTCCCAATCCTCTCTACTGTGCCCGGAAGTGTATCTAGTATCTAGTAGATCCACACGTTCGATAGTGGAACTCCTTGTTGGGTCCATCTTCTGTTGAATGGTCATGGATGTGAATTCCCAAGATAAAAGCTTTCTATCAGATGACATCCCCTGTCGGTCCTTTGGAGGCCATAAAATACTGAGATCTTTCAACTTCAGCGAAACCTGTTCTGTGCCTCAGTCCCTTCTTGCTGGAGGGAATAATGGTAAACATCCACGTTTTAGGAGGTTGAGGGCCCTTTCTGACATACTTGCTCTGGGTTTATTACTAGTAGAATCTTGCACTGATTGGGAGGCTGGCTCAGATGGAGTTTCTGCTATGGCTGGTGCAGTGAGAGCAGGGGTTGGGCTTGAACATCTGATTTTCTTTGCGGGAGGACTGTTGTATCTGCCTCTGTCGTGGTATATATCATATCAAGGTAGATCTTGTCAAGGCCAGCAAATTCATTAATCTGGACTGGAAGGTAGGTGAGCTTAATTGCACCATCTTCGTCCGGTCAACCTGAGGGGCTTCATTCCTCTTCTGTACCGACATCTTCCTTGAGAGACTGGCTACTCCCTTAGCGTCTGTGAGGATGGCATCTCTTATATTCATCTTAAAGATCTGTCTACCCTGGCCTTTAAACAAACATATCTTCCCCAACATCAGTGAGGCGTGCAATATTTCCAGCTCTTCTATCTCAGGGGAAGACGGCGTGTAACATACAGTTGGCATGTCTAGGGCTTCTTCGTCATAGTCTGCTTGGAATAAGGCTTCTGGGGTTGGGGACTGTGTATGTGTGATTTTCTTTAACTTGTCCAATCCTTTCTGCCAGTCATCCTTTTTCTGGTGGTTCTCCTTGTGGTAGAAAGCTATTCTAAGACCAAAACTCTTGCATGGGAGGCAGAGGTAATTCCCCATTCTGTTCCATTGACCAAACGACTGTATCCCTCTGGGTCGAGGCTAAACCAGACACCATTATTTTCCGACATCAAGTCAGATGGATTTTTGGCAAGTTGGTGAGGATGTGTTGACTTGATGTGGCTCCTGAGGTCAGTGACTCTTTTGTACGTCTTTTCGTCAGGGCACCAAGGACAAACAACTCTCATAGTGCCATGCTTAGGCATCATATGGTTCTTAAGGTCTCTGCAGGAGGAAAACTTCAGGTCCACGTCTAAAATACTGTCTTATAAACGACTTGTTAACCATCTCTATCAACATCTTTGGGAGAAGAGTTCTGGGTGATCATGGCCAGCTCTATCCCAAGCTCAGTGGTACACCAATCTCATATCTACCATCTACATAAACATCTAAGTATCACTTCTTAAAAATAACTTGAAACATAGGAATATAAAACAACTTCTGAAGAAACTTCTATGGTTTATTTAAAAAAGATTTAAAATTTTCTTAAGGACTAATGACCCTCTGCTCTAAATTTCACAATTTTTTTTAAACTTTCCAACATTGATTTTCATCAAGAGCTATAACATCAGCTTCAAATGGAAAACAGTATGAGGCATGAAGCGCCGCTTATTTTTTCAGAAATGATTTTTATGTCGGAACATGATATGAAGAAATTTTAACACAGAGGATAGAAAGAGTAATGATTTATTATCATAGCATAAAATTAAAAATATGAGGTGCATTTGAAAATAATATTTAGTATCATACCTATTGAATTCATATTAGAAAACATAATAAAGCGTTGCTTCCTAAGTCAGAATATCACTATGTTGTATGTAGTTGTAAGAAAAGAACACATCTGTTAGCAAGAGTTGTCTCTCTTATAAATATTTTTTTCATTGGAAAAAAATGTAATAATAATAGAAATTCTATATTTGGTACTTGAAACATTAAACCATTTTTAAAATGGTCTTTAAAAAGATAGAACTTATTCAATTTGTAAGGCTTCTAATACTGAATTTAAATGTTTTTTGTTATATATAATAAAACAATTTTGAAAAGTATAGGTGAAGGAAATAGAAGGTAATGTTTCCATCATTTGTCAGGTTTGATCGAATCGAGTATTCCAAGGTCTCGATAATGAAACTCTGATAATGAAAACTATGAGTAGTATTCATATTTTTACTTGGAAGGTTATCTCTCTTATCAGAGGGTCGGTCCCCCTTAAACCAGTTGGGGAGGGTTTTTCCTTTGTAGGGCATTAATCTGTCGACATGATAAACTTTTGCTGGTTTCCGAAGTGTTCTTTGCACGAGGTAGTTCAAATCACCTTTTCGTTTGGTGATGAGGTAAGGACCCTTCCACTGTGAAGTTAGTTTTGGACACACCCCAACCTTCCTGGTATCATCATACAACCAGACAGGTTTACCTTTTTCTAACAGTTGTTCCTTTGCTTTGAGATCATAGTGGCGTTTATTATATTCTGTCCTCTTTTTCAGATGTTCCCTGGCCAGGGCATGAACATCAAGCAAAGTTCTTTGTAGCTCATCTATGTGCTCATTTGGTTCTATGGAATCATCTGGTCCACGTCTAAAATACTACCAAACCGGCAGACTACTTCATTGACAAAAGTCGTAATAAAAGTTTCAGTTTCTTGATCTGGGATAGCTATAGCTTCGGTCCATTTAGTGAAACAATCAATCATAACCAGAATGTATCTGTTACCTTTTGTAGACTCAGGAAGAGGTCCCAGAATATCTAGAGCTATCCTTTCCATTGGCTCTCCAACCATGTACTGTCCTAATGGTGCTCTGTTTTGTCTTTGGCTGGATTTACGAGCAGCACATAAATCACATTTTTTACAATATCTTGCAATTTCTTTTGACATTGATGGCCAGTAAAATGAATTTTTCATGCGACACGTGGTCTTCTCAGCACCAAGGCGGGCTCCTGTGGGAACATCATGAAAGTAATGAATAACCTCTGATTTCTTCTGCTTTGGTACAACTAATTGTAATATGACTTTGTTTGTATCCACATCTTGGAACTCTCTGTATAACAGATCATTTATGACTTTAAGTCTATCCCATTGTCTCCATAAGGTTTTGAGTGCCTCAGAATTGTGTGATTTGACATCCCATTTTGGTCTTTCAGAACCATCTGTCAAGGTCAATAAAAACATGCCCATGGATTGGTCTTCCAGTTGCATCTGTTGAATTTCATCCACCTCCCACCCCTTTAGTATTACTTGGTTTCTGAATTGGCATTGGGCTATTTCTTTACTTCTGGTTGTCACTCTAATTGTTGGCATGGATTCAAGACCTTCACTTCCATTGGAGTTTTCATCATCGCTATTATCACTGTCATCTTTGTTTTGTTGTCTTAGACATGGTTTGCAAGGATTTCTCGACAAGGCGTCTGCATTTTGATGACTTCGCCCTGGGCGGTGAGAAACTGTAAGGCCATAAGTTTCGATCTCTTGAAGCCATCGTACTGTTTGACTGGTGGGGTTCTTCAAGCTTCTGACCCTGCTGACAGCAGCATTATCAGTGTGAAGTAAAACCTTCTGGCCATAGAGGTAGGGATGAAACTTCCGAAGGGCGGTGACAACAGCTATCAACTCTTTATGTGTGACACAATAGGATTGCTCATGGCGGTTCATTGTTTTACTCATATAGGCAATTACTCTTTCTTTGCCCTCTTAATTGATTCTGAGACAAAACCGCACCAATATCTTTATCACTGGCATCGGTATCTAGAGTAAATGGTAGTCCAGGTAATGGGAACCCAAGTATTGGCGAAGTTGTAAGAGCTGTTCTGAGGGTGTCAAATGCATTCTGGCATTCAGGGGTCCATAAGAACTTTGCGTTTTTCTTGTATAAATCATGGAGGGGCTTTGCTATCTCTGCAAAATTCTTCACAAATCTTCTGTAGTAAGAACAAAGTCCGAGGAATGATCGGATTTATCTTTCATTCTTTGGAATTGGCCAGTTTTGGACAGCAGGCCTCGAGACCATAAACTGAGAACAGACTTAAGTAAAAATTTTGATTTTGAATATCTTGTGTTTTATTTTAACACATACTTAAAAATTTGCAGGTTTGTAAAATGTTCCAATTAAAACATATGATGAAAATTTTATTTCATTATCGAAATTATTTCAAAAGTTATATTGGTTTGAAATTTTGACTTAAGTCTGTTCTCAGTTTATGGTCTTGGGGCCAGATATTTTCTCAGTATCTGTCTGGATATCCTGTTAAGAAACTATGTGACCTAAGAATTTGACTTGTTTTTGGAAAAATATACATTTTGATGGCTTGAGTTTTAAATTTGCTTCTTGAAGTCTTGTAAAAATATTGGCTAAGCACTGAAGGCCTTCATCAAAAGTTGAACTGTAGGAAATTATGTCATCCATATAGACTCAGCATTCAGTCCACCGTAGACCTTTCAGTACATTCTCCATAAGTCGCTCAAATGTAGACGGGGCATTAACCAGACCAAATGGCATGACTCGAAATTGGAAAAGTCCTAATGTTGTTTCAAATGCAGTCTTCTCTTTGTCAGTTTCAGACATTTCTATTTGCCAAAAACCTAAATTGAGGTCCATTGTTGAAAACTATTTGAGACCAGACAGAGCATCAAGGCATTCATCTATACGGGGCAATGGATAGGCATCTTTCACAGTTTTCGCATTCAACTGTCTATAGTCAACACATGCTCTAGTAGCTCCAATTTGCTTAGCTACTAAAACTAGATTTGATGCCCAGGCACTGGTGGATGGTTCAATTACACCTTTCTCTAACTTGTTGTGTACTTCTCTTCTTTTAATATCTCTTTTTGCTATAGGCTGTCTCCTTAGGGGTTGTCTCACAGGCTTCTCATTTTCTGTATCTATCTTGTGTTTTATTATACCAGTGCAGCCAAGATCATCTGGTGTCTTAGAGAATACGTCTTTGTGCTTTAGGAGTAGTTTGAAGAAAGCATCTTTCTGTTCTTGGTCTAGATTTTTCGAACTTCTTTCAAACATGTCAAGGAGATGTTCTGGCAAATCTATTTCAGGAGTTGTAGTTTTCTTGGTAACCTTAAGAACTAAGACTCTCTGTGGTATGGTACCCTGATCCACTAAGCATTTCTGCATTTACCGATTGTAGTTCTGGCTTGAAGTTTTACGGATTCTTCTCCAAAGTTTACAATGTTTACATGTATCTGATGAGACTGGGTATCTATCAAACCATCCAGTACTTGTATGTCATCACTGAAGGTGTTAAGTTGCTCTAGGTAGCCTATATTGGTGAGGTCACCATTTCTTGTCAGAGCTACTGGAACCCAGATACCACAATTTGCAAGTATGGAAACTGTTTTCTTGTTCTCTACATTTGTAGCTGTTTGATCATTGGCAATCCAGCATTGGACAATTGTCTTCTCAGCCTGAAGTGTTTTTGTTTTGTAGTTAATGTGATGACAATACTGCAAGAGGAAGTCTTGTCCGAGTATAGAAGGAAGATCCATGTCAACCACCAACAAGTCAACTGCATGTGGAACATCTAGATAAATGTAAAATCTTTCAATACTATGGACTGACAATGTATGGCCATTCAAATCTTGAAGATCAGGACACGACTCCTTCAGATTCTTCAGAAATTCCACATGTGACAAAAGTGATGCAGTACAACCACTTTCTAGTAAAAAATTAACATCCACCCCACCCAATGTTCCAGTAATATGGAAACCATTATATTATATCCGAGATATTTTTCTCTTTCTTTAAAACCACCCCCTTTGAGTTATCAGAACTACTGTAGGTCTTGGTTCCTCCACCCGCTGTCGACATGCTGTCGACCTACAAGGCTGATGATCTCCCATTTTCCTGTTGGTAATTTTGTCGCCTAAGTAAATCTTGATTTTTTCTCTGCCCAGGTCTTGGTTTGTCCAACTAAGGATATTTTATGATAAAATGTTTAGGTGATCTGCAATGGAAACAGAGTTGAGGGGAAAGCTTCTTGTTAGCTATTTCCAGGCGGTCCAATCTGTTGCTGATTTCTTGAATAAGTGAAGATGAATCAGGAGAGTTGTTTCTAGGCGCAGTAAAAGATGCTAACTCACTGGTCACTGGCACAGCTTGTGGAACATTGAATTCCTCGTCATTTGCTTTGACAGCTCTAGCATGTTGTTTCTTTTTGTCATAGTTTTCATCAAGGATGGCTTCATATCTGTCAATTATATCAGCAGCTTCTGAAATGCTCTGACAATCTTTATCAATACATCTGCACTTCATCTCGACAGCATCAGCTTGTTAAGGTGATTTAAAGCTAAGATTTCTTGAGCTTGCTCATCTAAATTACAGTACGCTTTTTGAACCAACTGTCGGATGTCATCACCTACAGCAGCAGCACTCTCACCCTGTTGTCGTCTGCGTGATTCAAGCTTAGCTAACCATTTGTTCTGGTGTCTGGAATTTCCGACCCACTGACTAAACTTGTTAATAAGGGCGTCAAAGAATCTTTCAACCAAAGATAAACTCATGTAAAATGTCTGTCCTGGCCTCTCAAGTTTGCAGCAAGAAACAGTACTTTATCTCTCTCTGTACTCTGGCGTAGTCATTGAAATGTGAAATGTACTCGTCCCAGCTTACAGTTCTATCATAGGACTCTGGCTTCGTCATGTAGTTCACAGGTTGGATAGGGCTTGAAAATAGCTGAGGGGCAGGTCTACCAGAAAAACCACTATAGGTGCTTGGTGGTGGTCCATGATTGTCTTCGTTTCTTTTTGGAGAAAATCTTTCATCATTGCTTGACTTCTGACGTTCATCATATGTGTCACCTTGACCACCATCATCAAATGTTACCGACTCAGGCACGCGTACCTCGACTTCATGATCAACCGACTCACCGGATTCTGACATCTTAAATTCTTTTTTTTTTCTTCGTCGTCTTAAATAAGTAGTAATGATTCTATTGTTAAATCTATATGTCATCTTATCTTCTAAGACTTTAATGTTGTTGTTAAACTACCACACTGGACGGCTTATGGGCTCGTATCAGGACACTAAAAAATTTAGTATCCCACTTCTGACACCAGTTTGTAAGCTACCCAAGGGGTGGCTAGTATTTCTGAATCTCAGCATGTATACAGGTCATTGCTTCATCATCTAAATAAATCATCTATTTACCAGGATGCACAAATTTAATTTGCTTTCATGTAAAATAGACCAGGCTCCTCTCTCTGTAGATACTTAGTGGAATAATACTTAAGATGATGATCAGTCATACTTATACGTACAGCATCTCATTATTATAACAATATAGGCAATACACAAATAACAACATAGGAAAACATTGCTGATTCTTCAGAAACACACGTTTAGGTCGTCCAGTGTGGCAGGAGATTTCTAAATAGACTAATTACGTGTAATTTACATTATAAGTATCTCACTGTCTTTGTTTTCCTTCTCTATCTTTCGAATGTTGCCGCCATACAACTAGAAGAAATCTGTCGTAACGTAGTACGCGCTTGCTTATATAACCTCCTATCCCCTGTCACATGACTCAAATTACCCAATGAAAATATGCCGTACGAACTATCAACCAATCAACAGCTTGTACGGAAAGCTGAGTTCCCACACAAGTTCCCACACAGAACTACTTTTGCCACACAAGCTGCCGTACAATATCGTAACAAATATAATTATGTAAAATTAACAACTGGAAATAAAATACATAAAATAAACTTGACTAGACGAATAATCTAATGCCTTCAATGTTTATAAATGTAGTTCCGATTAAGCTGACTGGTAATAAAGTTAATGCTGACAATAAAGAACTACTTATAGCCTCAAAATGCACAACAAATCATCTTAAAATGTAGAATCTGATCCAATATTCATAACCTTTATCATAGATTACTATAGTAAATATGTCACTAAACCGGAAGTGACGATCCAAGTAAAGTATGATGGCTACCAAAACATGAAATGTAAAATCCACCCTCTTATCCCTAATATTATAAATCCTACGACTTTACATGAAGCAACAACAGGTAAAATATGATGATCATAATAGCTATTACTACAATCGTATCAAGATAAGCTGACATATCATTTTCGATAAAATCGTAAACGAACAACTTTTCTGGCAGGCACATGACGAACATAGATTTAACAAGTATGAAAACTGGACGACCGCACAATATTACGTATAAAATAAAGTAATATATTACAAAATATTACAATATATTAATTACTACGTAAATATTAACGATTCAATAATCGGTTGTATTACGGTGATAGCGTAGATTAAATATTGTACAGGCTAGCAGTCCGTTAAAAGCAAATAGAAAAAAATGACATGAAAATTAATTTAATTTCAACGAGTACTCGACTATCATTCGACTAAAGCCTCCGCCTATTCGACTAAGCTGTCCGAGTAAAATTGACATCCCTAGTATAAATGCAGCCCTCCATCGGCTAGTGGTGTCGTCTCCATGTGAGTGAAAAAATTCTAGAGAGGGACGTTAAACAAAGAACAAACAAACATTCATTAAATTTAAAATATATACATGTACCACTTCTACATGTTCGTGGCATATAAATTGCACTTTAATTTGAACTTTTTAAGAACTTTTTTATTTACAGTAGCATGTTCTTCAAACTTTTCATGTACATACATTCCCAATTATTTCATAGCGTTAAACGAGAATAATTTAAATTCTGGTTGTAACACGATATTTGATTGGGAAAAAAATACTTCATATAGTATAAATTGGGTTGCCTACGTCACAATGACTTGCGTCAAAAATGTATCGATCCGCTACTCACTTTATACGGTATAAACTGGGTTGTAAGCCGCTAAACCCAGTTTATACCCATTTCATAAAATGGGTAACTATTAAAATCATTCCTTGATTACTACTACTAGATGCATTACGACGTCTAAGTCTATTATTATCATACAATAGTTATCATCAGTTTTATCCCTGGTATAATTTCTTTGTTATCTTAATGTTTGTGGTTACTCCAATCATACTACCTTGACTGTCAAATCTTTTGGTTCGAAGCAATTTGACTTCTCACGAATATTGGTCTTATTAAATGTTTTTAATTAGTACATGCGAATAATAATAAACTTTTTTCAATTTTCCTTTGATATTGTATGGTTTTCTGTACATATCTTAGAATGAATAAGATCATCTTAAGCAAACGATTTTTTACGAACAGCACTAAAATATACAGCATACTACTTTATGTCGTTAGCAGACCTCCGTTTTCACATCAGTTCCTGTAGAATTGAACTCATGACAACATAAAATAACAAACATCACGCATTCCCAGGCAATTTATTTACATTTTTTTTCAATAATGTAACAATATACAAATATACAACTGTTATATTATTTGAGAAATTATTAATGTCAGTGATTCCATATGTTCAACCAACACAAACATAATGTATTAAAAGGATTGTGTTAAGTCCGTAAAAGAAGACAAATGTTCCACTTCAATGTCATTCTGTGGTACACCCTTTAGAGATCTTCAAAAGTTTTTAAGCACGTCGCATCGATTTTGCTGGAAAAAATGAAATAAATAAAATAACCATAAAAATGCGCCGGCTTATGCGTACATGTAATACGGTGCAACAAAATTGAGAGGTACTTCACAAGATCTTAATTTTTTTTTACTATCTCCAGTATGAACTCAAGACTTCCCAAGTATTGTCTTTAAATATTTGAAAAACAACATTTGTAGATGTCAATGTTCCAAATTCAAAATGAAGTAGAAGGAATTATTTATCACAACAAAATTATCGAAAATTTGGTATTGGTGGAATTCTGACTTCTACAATATTTTCCATGTACATGTACACTGTCATCTTATTTTAAATTATTAGTAGGCTCCTACATATTTTACGTTAAATGATAAATACAAGTAAATGGTTGTAATTTATACTATTGCCGTGTAATCTCCACAATGAAGCCTGTTTTGTAAAGTTTCTTTCCATTTTTTGGTCTACATTTCTTCCTCTGAGGAAAACAAATAAAACGATTCACCTTTAAAGAAGAAATGTTCCAAAGAGAATTATTAAATTTGAGGGTTTTTTTTAAAACTGAGGCCATATTTAAAATAATGTTTGCTTGCCCTCTCCCGGCACAGGGTAAAAAAAAATGGGTCGGTTTGTAGGTGGGAAAATCTTTTATTCTCAGAAAATTTCAACATACATGTTGTCGAATGGGAAATTTCAGGAATAAAATGAAAAAAAAAATATCTTAATTCCTGGAGGTTGAAAAAGGTTTTGAGTCGGGCCATTTTGAGCCAGTCGGCCGGGAAAGGGCAACCAACCAAATTTTTAAAGTTGGTCTGATATGAAATATAATGTTAATGTTTATTTTTGTGGAATGAATCCACAGTTAATCATATTTTTTATGTTTTGTGCAGTATTCCATAATCGTTTCATCTAAAAAAAAATTTCACCTTTGTCCCATGCAGTCTAAACAACAGGTTGACTTCCTGCAGCAGTATCTTATAAATCTGATGGTTATGGCATCTTCTTATCAAGTATAAAGTATTCAGACACTGACAAAAGTGATCATGTAGTATTAAGTATATGTATCTAATCATTAAAACTTTACCTGTAAAGGTCTTCGAACTCCGAGAATTCGAAGAGGTTCAAAGTGTGAGTCCTCCACCTCCTGTAATGCTTTAAATGCCTGAAAATTGAAAATACTGCATATAATCGAATATATCTATCTATCTATATACATGTACATGTAAGTCTCGGAAGCTCCAATTGATGCTTTATTTACCGCAATAGACTGATTAAACACAAAAATGGTTATATAATCTTTCCTATTGTTTTACAAAAATGAAAAAAATCAAATAAATAAACTTATTAATCAGACCTCTTAATCTGAAATGTAATTGTTAAAAAAAATACGACAGGGTCCTTATGCTCGCAGAAAGGATAGATGAGAAGTTTAAAATTCACTAACTTTACGAGTAACCCTGATTGGGCATTTAAATACTATCCACTGAACAGTTTCGTAACAAGGAGGTGTGGTCAAAGATCCCTTGTACGTGTAGAATCTTTGGTCATATGGTAAGACATCTATGGGCGATATTCCACATTCTACTTGGACATCATGGTGCCTTTCCCCATTTTTCGGAATACACTTATCTTGAATGGTTTCTTCAGATGGTCGCTGTCCACATCGTAGGTCTACAAAACCCCAATATAAGAATGCAATACATTCTAAAATTTCCTTCAGCAATTGATGTACCAGATAAAGAAATTGTAGTAGATTACTAGTTACTAAAGTTAATCAGGCAGATGGGTACAAGAAGACAACGATAAGAATGGTATTTAATAGGAAATATTGATTTGGAATCGTACCCTCAGAATTTTCCATGAATACCAATTAAACCATAACAACAAAGTAGCCAAAAACTAACATTGATGGCTTATACATTACAACTTACATGGATCAATTAAAGACTTACACGATACATTACAGATTTACAGCTGTACAAGATATCAGCTTGTTACGGAACTTACAATAAACAGCAGTTTGTTACAGGACTTAAAACAGTACACTGCGAAACACCACTACACTACAGGACTTGCAAAGGTACAGTACATGTACAACACACCAGTATATTACAGAACTTGCAATTACATATGTATAGCACATTACAAGACCTGTTCTTGACAGGAATCAAGAATGGTACATTACAAGAAACCGGTTTATTAGGAACTGTCAAGGTATATTAAAAGACACTGTTCCGTTACATTACAAAATGACGTTACAGGACTAACATTGACATACGTACTGGTACGTTACATGACTTACATTGACATACGTACTGGTACGTTACATGACTTACATTGACATACGTACTGGTACGTTACATGACTTACACTTGTAGGTAGGCTTGGGTTCAGGTTCATGTGAAGGTTCATGCTTCTGCACCTTCTTGTAGTATTTCTCCATTATGTCACTCAGCGTTTTTGCAAACCGCACTTTGCAACGCTCACGCTGAAAATAATACAGATATAATTTTTTGAGGGCTGTGCCATTGTGTATTCAGTTTTTAAACTTATCCACAGACATCTTGTGTATGACATAAGGGTATCATATTAATATTTTGAAACAAATACATGTACGTAATTTAATTACAGTGTATAAAACGAAATATGAAAAGAATTCTATGTTACCCCTCGGTAGCACTGTCTAATATATTGTTGTACGTAGTCTCTGTAGTGTCCCCGTGAGCAGATCCTTCTGTATGAGTGCTTATGAGTCTAAACAAAGCATGCATGTTTTAAAAACAACCATTTGCTGTTCGAGTACAGTTAATTAAAAAGTAAACTCAAGACACATCATGATTACCTCCAACACATTGCACTTCGAATCAAATATTAATTAAACAAAATAAGTAAAACAGTTTGCTCCTTTGTTACTTCAGTATTTCAGATGTAATATATACATACATCCCGTCTCTTTCTTCTATCCTCCCCATCATAATCGTGCTCAACCTCGCCACCATATTCCTTTTCAACCTCGCCACCATATTCCTTTTCAGCATCACCACCATATTCCTCTTCATTTTCCTCATTATATTCATTTCCATATTCCTTTAAAATACACAAACATTTTATATCATCTCCACATTTCTATGGGATATATATAGGATCTTGAGTAGAAGAATTACATTCCTATTATATATCCTTTTGTTGAAAGTACCAGTAAGCAAAGTAAGAAGGAATTTAACTACTGCTATGTCAATTTTTCTAATTTACACATACAATGTTATCCCAGCCGTCATACTGGTCATCATAGTCTGTGTCAGTATTATCAACATCGCCTTCGTCACTTTCTTCCTCCTCCTCGTCACTTTCGTCGTCATCATCATCATCTTTTTTCACCTGATCAATAAGATATATTACACTTCAGTTTGTTCCATATTGCATTCATTATTTTTGCAGTACAATATTGAAGCATGTAAAGTCCGGATTTAATGAACATAAGATTTGCTTTCAAAGTGAAATTTACATGTTATTGTCAATTAGGAAGACTCTCTCATTATTGTCTTAAAGAATCTTTTCTTTGTGGAATCTGTGTTAAATCACATAATTGTTATGAACTTAATTTTCCGAGGAATGCAGTGTACCTTTAACATAACCCCGATGACCACCAATCCATCTCTTGCGGGCTTTGCATATTTTATGTCTGGATATATGCTGTCATAAAATACCATATGAGCCTAGAAGGGACAGAATGAAGTTTGTACAGAAAAGTAAAAAAAAATCCAGCAATATTAGACCAACAAAATTGTCTATCAATATGTAGTATAATAAACATTTTAGGCAATATAGAAACACTAGACATTCAGAAAAACTATTGGTAATAAACAGTTTAGGCAGAATCATACACTTACCACTGTTGATATAATTTGATAATCATTACGATAAATGTTTTATTGTTTGAGAAGAGTGATTTCATCAACAAAGAACAAAACAATGAAAAAGTTCCAGTTTTGATATTGATTTTGGTTGCTGTTTCTACTTTATCACGTACTTTTAATGTCGGGGATCCTGAGTCCACTTATGGCAAGAGGACCCCTGGCTTTCATTGTTAAGGTCACCTGAGTGACTCACGTCACCTATTGCTATCCGTTTTTGTCTGTCGACGTGAGTTGTGCGTTGACATTTGAACATTTTCAGCTTATTCTCTGAAACCGCTGATAATTTTAACCAATTTTGGCATATAGAATCTATGGGTGAAGGACAACAAAAATTTGAATTACATGGTCCCTGCCCCCCTGGGGCCTGGGGGATGGGTCTAAAACCATCAAAATTAATGCAATCTTTAAATTAAAATCTTCTTCTTTACTCCTGGACATCAAGCAGTGAAACTGTTGGCATAATTGTACTACGCATTGAGACCTCTACCATAATTGTAGAATTCATGGCCTAAGGGTCAAGGGTTCTGGTGCTAGGGTGGGGCAATATAGATCATGTAGAGAAAAGTGCATTATATCTTTGAAAATCTTCTGCACCTGGGTATTATTTAAAAAAAAAAACTAAGTACATAGTTGTGATGAGCAAGGGTACCTCTTCCAGAATATAAATTTCATGACCCTAAGATTGGAGGTTCTGGTGAAAATCTTCTCTGATCCTGGGCATATAGGAGGCAAGCAGAGTAAACAAATTCAATAAGCAAGGGTATTTTTACCAGATTTTTGAAATTCTGAACCATTTGGTCAAATGTTCTGATGCTGGTCAGGGTATTCTACTGAGAGAAGTTATTCCCCCTTGCCATTTACCATTGATAATTGATCATTGTAGATAATGTATTTGAAACGTTAAGAATGATTTTAGTACTACATGTAGGTACATGTATGTCAGTTCTGCGTTCATGATTTACCTCCATAGGATAAAACTTGTTGTCGATCGAATGTTCAGAACCTTTCTTCGTCTTTCTGCCAAGATGAACGTGCAGTTGTGCAAAGATGTACTTCTTGTGAGCAGGTCGACCAGGCACGTTGGTTAAAATGATATTGTTGTCGTTGTCAGACTTGTCCACAATGACATTAAAGTCCGGTGCATGACCTTCAATTGAAAAGACATCGGTGAATTTTTTGTTCTTTATGGTAAGCATAAATTCATCATACAGTAGAAAGTATTCATAACCGATATAAACTACTAACTAAGATATATAAATTTTACCCTTTTAAAAGACTTTTTCGAAACATAAAATTAAGATAATTGGATCTTCCAACTACATTCCAGCAGAATTAAATTAAAAACAACGATTAGGTCCATGGCTTTGGACTGATATTGTTGTTACATGTTTATACCCCATGGTAAGTATTACTAAGTGGTTGAATGAAAAATAAAACTCAATTAGTACGTATTGATGATCCCGCTCTTCAATTGTGCAATTCACTAAGGAAAAACAAAGGTTCAGACTGCAAGTCAGTGGCAGGAATATTTTTTTTTACTTCGAAAACCTGTGTGATATCTCCTTCATCTGTTCATCGTAAAAAAATAAAAACATATCGGAAAATGTTATCTCACCGTTATTGAAGGTTGTGGCTGGTACTCTTTTACTAAGATGCTTCAGAGCAAATCTCAGGTATTTGCGAGACTCGGCCTTCCTCGTGTTAAGGTTAATAGGAGACTGCCGTCTTGTTGAGCCACATGTTGTCCAACATTCGTGTATTCTGCACCAATTTTCTGGTCCTGGTGAAACAATTATCAAAGATTGGTATAAAATTGTTAATGAACGTATTAAGAATTTACCCTTCCAATACTCATTATTTCATATTTGAACATACTGGAATCAATCCAATAGCTCCCAAATAAATGTTCTTTCAGGTTATTTGGAATTTAATCTCAGAAGACAAGATGAGTATGTACAATGTAGGCAATGGTATTTAAAAATATTAGAATTTTAAAAAATCAACAAAGTACTCAGTATATATTATTTTCGCTATATTCACTACTAAAGTAAGGCACATAACAGAAAGATATGTAGATATGAGAGTATGTACGCTTTAGTAACGTCATCAATCTCAAAATTCGTTGCAAAAGTATCAGCGTTAAGACTCTTCTGGTATCCATAATGTGTCAATGTCAAAAATGGCATTTGATTCAATAATGTTATTTGTAAGTACGATCGCTTGAACATTTCAATGGTGTTTCAACTTTTATGTGATTGTTCAAATTAACGGCCTTGGATAAATTAATTGTGTACATGTACCTTCCCTGTAAATCAGGCCTCATCTGTTTGTGTCCTCTTTATTTTAAAATTGCTATCAAGACATAACTAATAACCATCTTCATCATCATCATAAAGTACCGCATATTTGAGATTTGACTGGATAATATTTTATTCGATTGGGCTTTCTGACGTGCAACTTTCTTTCCTGATGTGAATGGAATCAGTTTTGGGATATGTCTAAATGTCATTAGGATTTCTGTGTTCAAAACTGCCCTCAACATGCATATGCCCACAGCAACCCTCACAGTAGTAACAAAGGACGTATGTGTTCATCAGCATAGTCTAAATCCACTTTAACAGTTTAGATAACTTCGGTTTTACTCTAGAAATTTCTTTAACATTCTAGTATTTAAAAAAAATCGCTAACGTGTAATTGTTGTATATTTAGGAATTGAGTTTATATTTTGCAAACAAATACAGACTTTAAGCATCTTGTATAATGCAGTTCCCTCAAATGACGACAAAATCAATCTTTTGAAAATTCCGAATGATGCAACTTGTGCGTCCTTTGCATCGCTTGATTCATATTTCCTAATTAACTTTCAATTGGATATTACATGTAAAATTCCGAGAGATACCCTGACAAGTCGCTGAAGCTCTCTTATGCTGTACATCACAGTCATTGCCATTTTTTTAAAACCTTGTGCGAACTGGAAATACGAAATAAGTTTTAGCAGACCCCCCTCCTTATTAGACGACTTAATATCATACATAACAAAGTACGACACAACTGTATTTTAAATTATGATCTTTATAAAAGAAACATTATTGAGAGTCCTAATTGTTCATGTGGTACACCAGAAGACCCATATCATTTCTTCTTTGTATGTAATAAGAGAGGAACTATTTAGAAACCTACTGTGTCTTACTAAACCAAACACTAAATTGAATATTATTGATTGTCACCTACTTCTGAGGGGAGATGAGTCACGAAATGTTGAAATCAATAAATATATTTTTCAATCTGTACAAAAATTTATAAGAGATTCTGGCAGATTCAATTAATTATTACAGCCTTACACTAAAACTCTAGTTAGTTATATATTTATCATGTAATGAATGTATGTTTAAAACAAACATGTATGTATATCAATATTTTTTTCTATATATAGACCTTGACAGTTGTAGCCATTTATGGTGAGAACCTCGTAAGTTGTTAGAACTTGTGTTCAAACCATTTGTATATTATTTATACAATAAAATATGTTCAAACCAAATAAGTTTTAGACAACGATAGTTAAATGTTGACATAAGAGAAAATGTCGGACTTAAAATGTTTCTTTACTATTTGTGGGTTTTATGTAAGTATGACGTTGTACTTCCCAGATCGTCCAATTCAAGGATCTAATGCCTTTGAAGTATACAAAGGCGAATTTTAGGAAAGGCGTGAGATATAATACACTGCTGTTGGTGTAAATTATGAAGCAATCAATTTCCTTATACTCGCTTGATTTGCCAATTTTCACACATATATTATATGGGAATTTGAAGTCCGGTGCAAGACCTTCACTTCAAAGGTTTAATTGAAATTAATTAAATATGAAAAAAAAGAATAAAATTTTATAATAAAATATAAAAATTTTAAATATTTTTTCATTCAATATAAGTAGAATACTAGTATATATTTTTTTCAATAATGCAGTATATCATCGTAAAAATACTAAATATGGTTTGTTCGAACTCATTAAAAACACTTTTGTAATGCATTTAGCGAACCCGTATTTATATTCATATGCAATCTTTCAAAGGTGAGGTTATCGGGTATTGCAAACAGTTTTTCTTTTTTCTTAACTCTTCTGCACTCTTCTCGAACCTGTTTCTATTTTTTTTTTCTGTTTCTCTTTCTCTTTATTGATTTTACTAGTATTCGTTGGGTAGCAGCCAAAGATACTTTTTAATTTATGTACATGTTTTTAAAAAAATATATTAGGTTTATCATCTTTGCGTCGTTTTACACGCGACATACAGTACATGTATTATGTTGACATTGATAAATTTGTTAAAATCAATTCATATTGCAATGACTGCATATTTAGCATCAAAATATAAGTAGTAAAATGCATATTTTGCTACTTGTTTCTGTGAATTGTTTTGCGTTAGTCTCTTAAACTGAAGTAATGTAAAAGTTTATTGATCAAGTTATTCAAGTCGTTTTCTGAAAGCGTGTTGACATTTCAAATGTTTGTATATTAATAAACAATAACGAATATACACATGTACACATACATGCATTTTATTTGTGCTAATACAGACTACAAAAATGCACATTTTTATAACGATTTTATTAAAAATAGCCAAGAACTGTTTTTTATGAAAATATACTAGAAGTTGTGACCATTGTGGACAGGGGTTTCGGCTGTATAAAAAAAATCTTTTTTCGCGAAACGTGTCTTTGAAAAAAAAAATTTTAAAGTAAGTCAAATTCCTGCATATAACGATTCGTTTTTAAAACGTTGAATATTTAATGACCACCAACTATGTATTACAAATACAAACACCTTCAAAGCTAAGTATTAAAAACCCAGAATATATATTTGATAAATTTAAGCGACGTCCTTCTATTTTTAGAACCCTGAATTACAAAATTAGAGGAAATTAACTAATCAATAAATTATTCCAAAATTTTAAGCAGCATTCATTTGTTTTGTGTTTATCATTTAAAAACAAATCATTAACACTTCATTGAATTAAAATCACAATTAATACTGTTGTGTTATTCTGATATTTTAAACAGTATTCATTTCTTTTGTGTATATCATTCAAAAACAAATTATTAACACTTCTTTCAATTAAATCACAATTAATACTGTCGTATTATTCCGAAGTTTTAAAAAGTATTCATTTCTTGTGTGTTTACAATTAAAAATAATTAAATAAATAAACACTTCATCAAATTTAATCACAATTAATATTGTCGTACTACAGGATGCTGTCTTGGCTATTCTGGATGTTACGCACCAAATGCAACGTCCTACTGAAATTCTTTGACACGGTAGAGCGTTTCTTGTATGTCCGATAAATATATTTTTTTCTATAAATAAAAGTTAACGGATGCGTTGCTATTTATTTTTTATATGTACCTTCAATGTGTTACTTATATATATACAGAATTTCTAGTAAGTTTTTTTAACATTGTATTACGGCCTTTGGACTTAAAAAAAAATTTAGTACATTTTCAGCGTTTCCTTACTTTTTTTAAAGACACCTGCAGATATTGAGCTGATTTTTGGTAATTATGTCAGTCTTCCTTGAGGAGTTACAGATCAAGTTCTGAGTTAAGCATTTTTGAAGGAAGCATGATTTATAGACTTACAATTATTCTAAGTTTTCTGTACTTCTTTTTTGTTTCCCGGACATTTCTAGATATTGAGCTAATTTTAAATATGCGAATCCACGATAATGAATTGCAGATAAAGTACAAATAAAGTTGCACTCATTTCTTCAAGCGTCAATGATTTAATTTTTGTTAAGGAATAATCGGACTCGGACTAAAGATCGCCAAAATATAATTGTTCCATGTTACTTATTCCTGTCCGAAAAGTATATATTACATGTATCTATCCATCTTTATATTTTGTAACATAGTTGATAGCTTTTCGAAATTAAAAAAAAAATTCATGAAGTTTTTTTGCAATACAATATTAAGTATTTATAAATCTTACTTTCACAATTGGAATCACTTCTATTATAGCTGAAATGAGCGTCTTTAAGTTCTTCATAATAACACATCTGCATGGACTGCGGCCTTTTAGACAGGTAGCCTGCACCGTGCACTGTATCTATGTAAAATAAACTGAAGATACATATGACAAGTAAGCCCAGAGATGCCATGCTTGCGGAATGATGAAGAAGCAGCCTAAATCCCCTCCTTTTATAGCAAAAATTAAACCTCGTTATGTAAGAAGCGTGATTCTTGTGTAATTTTTATACGGATGTAAATGTGATAATGAGGCAAAAAATTCAAATTAATCCATTGGCAAGAATCTTATAATGAAATTAATTAAGTTACAATAGTACGAGTATTATTCCTCATAAATTAGTTTTGAGATACAGTGTATCTGTTTAAAATGTATAAAACATGCATTTTTTTCTATTTTGGCAAACTGCTCTCGCTTTTCATAAAAGTCATCGCTAATTGAAGTTTAATTAATTTTTCTTAATTTGACAAGTAACATGTAAAGAAATGAATTATTATATATAGTAAAGATGTTGAACTTAAAATTTACATACATAAATGCGGTGGGAAAAAAGAAAATTAGACCCAAGTTTCCAAGATTTCGATTTAGTTGTCAAATGAATTACACTTGTACTTAGCTATAAATTATAATTCTGGAAAGAAAAGAAGAGGGTCAAAATGTATTTCATTATTCCAGGACGTACGATAGTTTCTGCGGAAAAATGGAAGTAGCTTTACTTTACTTCTGTTAAACTCCATAAGACTCAGATGTAATTTTCTGAAAATACTGTAATAGAAAATTTCCTCACCTATAATAGAGAATTTCTTCACCTATAATGATATCCCCCAGTTATTTTGGTATCCTATTAGGTGAGGAACCCCAGGCCCCCATCTATTTTTATACTATCCCCTGCCTTTTCAATTCTTAAGGCCAACCCTGAACATCCTTCTCTTTACTCAGTAGTTTGCAATGTGTTTACTAGAAGAGAACATTAGGGGTCTTTGGGATGAAAACTGAAAAGCCTGTTTATTAGAAGAGAACGTCAGGGGTCTTTGGGATGAAAACTGAAAAGCCTAGGTTCTGAGTCACGGTAGGCGTTGGTACGATAAAGATACGGCCGTAAGCGCCATGCATAGGTCAAAATTTGAAGCTCTTCACCGGCATACAGTGACGTCTCTTCATGAGTGAAAAATTCTCGAATTGAATTTGAAACAATCAATCGAACAACCTATTTATTTCTAAGTTAACATTGATTTGCAGTTCATTTATGCTGATTATATGGATTATACAAGATAAAAACTATCTCTTACAACAACGATTTCATTATAGCGTCACCAAAGTCATCTTACCAAGTCAAGGGTTTCTGATGCACTCCGCTCCACATAAACCCTTGGCCCAATAGATCAGAAACCCTTGACTTGGGAAGATGCATGAAAAAAGAGTTCCTCTTTTTCTAGAATCGTCATTATCATCCGTTCTCGGACACAGAATATACACATACTATACATGTATATCTCTGAACTAGGTTAAATTGTTCCCAAGACTGCTTAAGGAATACATGTTATAATTTTTAAGGAGAAATACGTCTCTTTCAATATGTGGTTTCAACATGTAAAGACATAGCTCCCTTTCTAAGGAGGAAATTCTTCAAAATCATATGTCAGTTTTGAATATTTTTAATATTCCAAGCAACCAAAATGAATTTAAATTACCATATTTATGTTGGATTCCGAAACTTATAAAAATCCTTACAAAGATACATAGCGGTTTCCAATATAAATAATCTACCATGCCTCTTTATTTACTCCTCACTAAAATATTAACAGCAGTAAAGGAGAAACTCCAGGAGTACTGTGCAACAATATATTCGAGAAGTGGTGTAAATCAGATGTGGATACTTAAAAATTCCAAGGAACTTTTGGAAAATTTGAAATCACAAAATTTTATCAAAATCAAAAAAATAAAAACTTACGACTTTTTAACTCTGTATACAACCATTCCCCACGATAAATTAAAGTCCAGGCTTTTTGACATCGTTGACAGCTGCTTTTTCAATAGAAATGAAACTCGTAAATTTATTTGCCTTGTCAACCTTGCCAATGGTCATTTACAACATTGTTTTGTCAAAAACATTCTGATTGTACATAAGCATTCTGACTGATTGATTGAGTGAGTGTTGTTTTTTTACGTGCCGTTCGAGAATTTATCACTTATATAGAGACGTCACCATATACCGGTGGAGGGCTTCAAATTTGGACCTTTACTCGGCACTCAGGGCCATTGAGCAGTGAGGGTTTTTTATCATGCCAACGCCTACCGTGACAGGGGGCATTTTTTAAGGTCTCATCCGAAAGACCTGCAACGTTCACTTCAAAGTGCCGAGCGCTTGGCGAACGAACAGTTGCTACCATTTTTTAATCGACTTAGGTCAGTCTCGACCGTGATTCGAACACACGACCTTCCGAATCACGGGGCGAGCTCTCTACCGACTGAGCTAACATGGCGGTTCATAAGATAATTACTCTGAAGCTGATATTCAAAAGACGCTTGAGCTTCTGATTGACAATATCTAGGTGGTTTTTGGAGAACAACAATCTGTTGAATTCCCATGGATATCAATTAAATTGCGTCCCGTTGTTAGCAGACCTATTTAGTATTCATATGAAACAGAATAATTTATTAAAAATCTTATACATGAGAAAAAGAAAGCTCTTGCTGTGGCCTTCAACTCGACATTTAGATATATCGACGACGCATTATCAATTAACAATAGTTATTTCCATTTATATGTCGACACGATATATCCCAGTGAGCTTGAAATAAAAGTTACCACAGAATCTGACACATCTAAAGTATATTTACATATTTTACTAGAAAAAGACGTTAATGGTAATCAAACAACCAAGCTTTATGATAAACGTGATGACTTTAACTTTTCAATCGTCAGCTTTCCTTACTTATGCAGCAATATACCCTTACCACCTGCATATGGGGTGTATATCTATACGCAAGAGCATGCTCTACGTATGAACAATTTCTAAAACGAGGTAAGTTACTGACAAAGAAGTTGATGAAAAAAGAATATCAACAGTCTCGTTTAAAATCATCATTTCGTAATACTGTTGTCGATACAATGACCTTGTCAGCCAATACAAACTATCATTAAGTCATATGCTGACTGACGTTTTTCATACTTATTGTTAGGCCATTATTTACACACTTAATTGTCGACGGATTTTCCTATTATTTCCTGATCATGACAAGGAGCACCGGTGATGCTCACTCCTCCCTGGCACCTGATCCAACCTCTGATGATTTTGGAGGTCCGTGTTTTTACTGCTCCCGATTTGTATTGTTTTAATGGACTTTGAGCTTGAATACTGTTCGTTATCTCCATATTTTATTATATTACTTCTTTATTGTTTTAAATGATTTTTTTTGTTGTTGTTATTTATTTATTTATTTATTGCATTTTTCAGTAAAAGTGTAAAAATTATTTGCAAATAAGGTGATTTAGATGTGAAAATTCCAATTTACAAATGCATAATATAAGTATCAAATAAAACACATGTCAATAGAAGTCAGATAGACTTTTTAAATAAAAATTACGAAAATAAAACATTATTTGTTAACAACTCTATAATTAATCTGAGGCGCAATTTGATTGCATAAAAAATTGGGTTTATATCGTATACCCTATGTTGCCTACGACGCAGTGACACGTCAAAAACATTTAAAAAAAAATGTATATCTGACTTTTCTTGACTTGTTTAACAAAATGTGGTTGTTAAAAAAATTAGATGCTGATTGAGTAAAGAACAAGAGTATTGACCTGTCACCTTGTAGCCTCGAAATCGATATGGGTTTTTCTTACGTTAGGAAGAGGCATCAGAATAAGTTTCATTGCAAAAGCTCTCACAGTACTATTAGTTATCAATACGCAATATATGAACTTCTGACTTTGAACTTTTTACCTCAAAATTGACAAAATTATCACATGGAAACCATTTTATGGAATTACATATATGAATTAATTAATATGAATTTCAACTTGAACCTTTGACCTAAATATCAATAGGGGTCTTCTTCAATGAAATATGGAGATATCGAACAGTAATCAAGCTCAAAAGTCCATTGAACTAATACAAATCGGGAGCAGAGCAAACATGGACCTCTAAAAGAATAAGAGCGGAGATCAGGTGCCATGGAGGAGTAAGTATCCCCTGTCGACCGATCACACCCTCCTTGTGCTCATTGTCATGATCGAGCAAACGGAAAAATCCGTAGACAATTTATTGTTTAAATAATGGCCTACCAGTTAGTACGAAAAACGTCAGTCATCATTCGACTTCATCATAGATTGAATTTGTTGAGAAGGTCCCGATTAAAACTTTATTGCAAAATCTTAGCGACATCTGAGATATCGTCCAGAAACAAAAGTGTTAGAGACAGACATAATGACAGACGGAGGGAAAGAGAGACCCAAATTAATATTTCCCGCTCTAAGCTTAAGCTCGGGACAAGAAAAATCTACGAAGAAGCTAGCCCTAAAATCAATGCACAGTGATTCTGAGTGTTAAGTTTCGTGATTTTGTGTTTGGAGAGAAGTAAAGCAGTTGTGCAATCAAATGATTTCTTTTTAAGAATAAGTTTTTTCTGAAGAAATTGATAATGATCTCATTTTTAAAAGAACATCTTGAACAGAAAACCCATTCATTTGTCGAGGATGTCATGCAATGGTTATTTTTGTTAACGTATTTTAATGCACATCCTTGTTTGGATAATTTATGTTGTGTATTCAGAATGTAAATAAAGTGTACAAGGATTTCAAAGAAACACATTAAAATTAGAAATATATTTTACATCCGTAAATTAAGTTCAAAACGAAAGTGCATATAACCTTAAGCGCATAATCTCTCAAAATATTTTATCACGTAAATTATAAATATACTTCAGCATGCATTCTTTCAAACTACTTTATCGCAATTTATCGAACATATTGAACATGTTATACGAATAAATGTGTATGTTTGCTGACACTTCTGAAAAAAAAATTAATTACATAGGGCTAAAATTGTATAATATTTTGAATAAGGTGATAGGGAACTATATTAAAAGCAAGTATGTGCAAATAATTATAAAATTAAACCATGA